ATAATCACACACAGCACTGCTGCATGGCTGGCAATTCAAGCATCCCAGCCCAAACAGATGGGAAAGGAAGCTCCAGAGATACCCAGTGTTCCTCTGGCCTGTGCTATGCTCCTGGAGCAGTGGACTCTTGCCCCATCATTGCTGCCCGTGTCCCATTTGTGTATCTGTTGAGTGCTAAATCTTGCTGGTTAGACTGCAAGTTCCCAAAAGCTAGAGACCCATCTTTTCATGGTGACTGCTGACTTGGATATGGATACACTCAGCAGTGGGAGGGAAGGCTGACAAGACCTGTGGCCTCAGGACAGCTCAGGCGTGAGTCCTGCTGGTTTGGGCATGGGAGAAAGACACTACATAACCGCCCTTCTCCAGAGCTTAAAACCACCTCCACCAGTTAGTCTGCCTGGGATATAACTGGGGACCTAGGGGTGCAAGGCCACTGGCCAAACATAGCCTTATTTACAATGGGCTAATTGACAGGGAGCCTATGAATTGGACATAGACAAGCAGGGCTTGGCTTGGGCAGTTGAGTGGCCATGGATCAGGGGTTGGAACAAGGAGGCAGGAGCTGGCTCTGCCATGTTGGGGGCCATAGACACTGAGGGAAGGTTGAGGCAAATGACCACCTCTGCATGGCGGTCTTAACTGGTCATAATTCTGTGGTAGGAAGATGTCGCCCACTGCAGCCCCATCCCCTTAGGTGTTTTTTTTTTTTTTTTTTTTCTCAGTTTTGATTTTTCTAGACAAGGTTTCTCTGTGTAACAGCCCTGGCTGTTCTGGAACTCCCTTTGTAGACCAGGCTGGCTTTGAATTCACCGAGAGCTTCCTGCCTCTGCCTCCTGAGTGCTGGGATTAAAGGTGTGCCCCACCACCGCCATCTCCCCTCAGTGTTCTAAACTATAGTCAGAATTCCGACATGGCCACTATGGTCCGAGTGTGCTCCACCGAGTTACTGAATGCTTGCACTAGTTCTCAGTGAAGTCCCTCACAGCAAGGGCCTGTGGTGGGAAACCAACCGCCTTTGTAGCTGCTATGAGGCTACCCTGCCACCAGTGCCTGGCATTTCCTGAGCAGGAAGTAGGCCTGCACGCAGCTTACTACAGGGGTGGCTCACCTACGCTACACTCCTGCCCCTCCTGCAGGCTGGATGGAGGCTTTCACCTGGTCTTCCTTCATCTTTAGGTGTCTCTCCCTAATGCAAGTATGTCTCTTCTGCTCTTCCTGGAATTTTAAGGGGCTGTTTTGTCTCTTCAGCACACAGGCAGCCTCACTCTTTGACGGTATGCAGGTGCATCTCATCTCTGTAGACACAAATGGGCAGATGTGGAAGGAGCCCTCCATATAGGGATATTGTCTGTTCCCTAGTCCATGTGACAACAGATGTGTTCAAAGTTGAAGTTGGCTGGCAGATGCAAATTTCAGAGTCAAAGTGTTCCACTTGGGAGTGCCAGAAGCAACTCCATTGGGACCAGCTGGCCTAAACTCACCTGTAGAGCCGCTGCCTGGCTTCGGATGGTTCCTGTGTCCTGTGTCCTGTGTTCTGGGCATGGGCAGCCCTGCCTTGCCTGACAGCTTCACACAGTGCTACCTTGGCTTCCTCCCTCAGCCTCTCCCTTTAAACCAAGATCAACTTTTAGTGTGGAAGCTGAAGAATGGAGTTGCCAGAGGAAGCTCAATAGGGAAGGAGTCAGCAAAACAAGCCTAACTGAAGGCAAACAGCCACTACTGGTTTAGGATTTCCCCAAGGTAGGTGTAGAGTTCAAACCCCAGATCCTCTGCGTGATGCTGAGAGCTGAGCTAGGCAGGAGGAAGTTCCTGTAACATTGGTCAGCTGGGGAGGGGGAGGCGCTTTGGACACACGTGACCATTATTAGCCTGGAGAAATTGGGCTGAGCTAGTCCCTGTACCCGTGATGGCTATTGGCTGCTATGATCAGGGGCTGGCTAGGCTGGGACCCTGAAGCTGCTGAGATAGGCCTAAGCATATGCCAAGTGACTGCTCACTTGCTGGTGTCCTGGCTTCATCTAAACTACTGGCAACCCCCTACCCCCCTTGTTCTTCCTAGGTGTCATTTAAAATGTTAAGTGCTCTGATCCCCTGTGGCAAACCCTGTGCTACAGGAGACTGACATGGGGAGGGAAGGGCAACCTGTATTGGAAGAACGTCTGAGCAGGGCTGCCTCAGGGTGGGTACCACACCAAGAGGCCTCTGCAATCCACACTGCCTATGGGAGCGGAGACTTCTTCCCTCAGGGCACTTCCAGAACCACACTCAGCGCTGGAATGGCTCTGCCACCCACTCACGGCTGTGCTTCAGACGTCTTAACCTGTGTAACCTTTGCTGGGCTGACAAATGTAGAGCAGCATTGGTGGTATCTTGCAGGTAAGGAAGCAATCTCAGGAGGCGATGCCCATGTTGCAAAGGAAAACAAAGCAGGTGAGGTGAGGTCGAGCCATGTCTAGCGCCAGCCCTACCTGGCCAGGCACTTCCTTGCTTGCCTGATCTCAGAGCTAAATTCTTGGAAGAAGTGGATGTTCACCCAGTTCTAAATGGTCCTTTATTAGAACACATGGGGCGACTACCAAATGAGGAGTCACTCCCTACATCAGTCTGAATTCCAGCATGAAGGCTCATGAGGACACCAAGGTACTGCTGAGGTTCCATTAACCACACGAACTGAGCCTCATGAACACAAGTACACCTTCCACCCCAATATGGCCATGAATCTGCAAATATGAACTTGCTATTTCTTACCAGATAGAAAAAGGCTTTGAGCCTAGCATGGAGGAAGCCATCTGACCAGTGAAAAGGCTTGACAGTTCTCCACAGCCTCTTCTCCAGGCTCCCATTTGCCAGTAGCTCCTGCTCTGGATAAAGGCAGAAGCCGGGGCTGTGTCCCCACGGGGAAAGATGGAACTAGCTGGTGCAGGGCCACAGGTGCTCCTCATGTTATCCTGTGGTGGCCACTGGGAGAGCTTTTAAAAGACAAAAGCAAACTACACCAGCAATGGCAGGGTATGGCTAGGAGACTGCTTGCATTTGTCCAGCTCTCCTGACACTAAAGGCAGCACTGGCAGGCTTGTCCAGCACAGCTAACCCTGTGCTGAGATTCAACCCTACAAGAGGAGACAGGTCACAGGGAGGTGGCTGTGTTCTAGAGTTATGCTCATTTGGCAGTGTGGTCATTTCAAGTTGCAGTTAGCGCAGGTCATCTTTGGCAAACTAAGTCAGGAAGGCCCCACGGCCTTGGCACACCTGTAAGACAAGGCCAGTCTGTGACCCTCTGTGCAGCACACAGGCATGTCTTAACTCTCAATTCCAATCTGATCAAAGAGGACTGCATGAAACAGACACGTATAAAAAAGTCTAAGCTTGGCATATATATAAAACTGTATTTAGCTGCTATGATCAAAATGTGAGTGATTAAAATTGATGATTACTCTGTGGTTAAAGAAAAAAGTTGTATATATCAAGGATTTTACAATGTGAATTAGACAGAAATACCTGATACAGTAACAGGGAAGGAATGCACTCCGCACCATCAATGGAGGCAACAGAAAGGGAAGCAATGGTCAACAAGGAAGAACGACATCACTCTCCAGTCCTGTTTCTTCCAAGCAGAGAGCGGCTGACTGGGGACCACAGAAACATCTGTGTGAACCCAGGAGCAAACAGGTGGCACCCACGCAAGCACAGGATGGGGATGGGGGTGGGGGGGGTACGGGCAGGGCAGGAAGGTTAAGGACTATGAAATGCCCATTCAAATGGCAAGGAATCAGCCCTGTGGGTAGCCAGTAACACTCAGCTATGACCTGTATTCTCAAAGCAAAGGGAATGTTGGGGACAGTGCCTTAGCTGGGAACATGGGAGCACTGTCGCAGGCCTGGAGGAAAGAGTTGATACTTTCTACCTTAAGTCTAAGGGTACTGATGCCTTCTTAAGTCAGGCCTTTTGTGAAGTGGCTGACGGCAATCTTCCCTCAGGGGATGGATGTTCATCACATCGTGGCCCTGGTTCTAACAGTGTCTTCATGGGACATGGAACTAGTCCTCCTCAGATTGCTGAGAGGACTCATCATCTGGCCCCGCTAACCCTTGCTACCGTGTGAACCATCAGCCCTACTGTCTAGTACAGCCAAGGACAAATCCTCATAGTGGATGACTTGAGTGTCCCCGTTTTCCAAGATGGAGTGAGCATCATGACATTAACATACTTGTCTGCATGAAGCGGGGACACTTCTCAGGGTCTCTGCTGCCCTGAGGAGAGGGAGAGAAGGCAGATGTAACAGGTGCTGGATCTGCCAACAATCCCCACTGTTCCAGGCAGAATGCCTGCTCGGGCACAGAAAGTCCTTCTTGCAGGGAAGCTGTGGTGCCCTGCCAACAGCGGAGGGGTGCCACACCTCTGCAGCCCAGGTGGGGCAGGGGGCAGGCAGCCCCGTCCTTGCAGCAGTGCCTGAAGTGGGAAAGGGTTGAGTAGGAGCCCTGCATCCTCTGGGACCTGGAATGTTCTCTAGGAGGTGGGGGTCTGGCCCTGGATGGTGTGAATGTGGTTCTCTTCATCATTTAACAGGCCACCTTAGGTTACAGCTGCCTCACTGTGGAGATTCTAGAAGGTGAAATGCAGTTGTTCTGGGAGGAGCAGTGGTGGCTGGAGTTTATTCAGCCTAGGAAATGTACTTGTGTCAGAGCAGCGTCTGGGTCCTAATCTGAGACCCTGCTTCTAAAGTTCACCTGACTCCAGCCAGGAGTGAGGCTGGCTGCCAGATCTCCACAGGCTCAGCCACCTTTTCTTCTAAGTGTGACTGACAGAGCTGCTGGGGAGGAGGGAATGGAAGACAGGTGGATGGGTTGTGTCTGGTCTGTCTGTCCGTGGGTGTGCCTGACCTAGCTCTAAGTCAGAGCAAGGGTCACAGGTCAGGTGACCTGGACACAGTGCACTGAAAAGAGGAAGCCTCTTTCCAAAGGGTTCCAATGGGTTGTGCCAATGCCAAATGCATGCCGGTGGTTCAGCAGGGTCTCTACTAGTGGAGTCCCTGTGTTCAGATGTCCAAGGGGCTCACGATGGTGAAGCCAGAATCCTTGCTGCTGTCATCATCAGGGCTGGAGCTTGGGTTGCTGGAGGAAGCTGAGGCTGGGCCCATCAACGGGTCTGAGAACAGCAGCGGGGAGCAGGTTGGCACTCTGCTTTTCCCCGCTGTGCTTCTGAGGGTGAGAAGGGGCTGTGACTGGCCTGAGAAGGCCCCCTTAGCACTGCGACCCTCATCTTCTTTGGAAACCAGGATGAAGTCATCTGAGGTCCCTCCACCTGTGCACCCTGGCATCGTTGAAGAGGCCTGTGAAGTAAAACCAGAGGAGAAGGATGGTGACCGCAGAGAGGACAACACTGCACAGAGGCCTGGGAGTGGCATGGCCATGCACCCCATTTAGAAAGATGGGTGACTGGTCCAGCTGCTCCAAGGCCCTGAAGCCCCGACATGTGGTGGTGGGGCAGAGCCAGCACTGCCTTTTGAGCCCTCAGAAACCAAACACTTGCCTCACACGAGATGGAATTCAAGCTCCTGTTTGACAAGCTGCAAGGAAAGGCAGTGTCCATCCTGTGGGAGGGCCAGGCCCAGGATGCAGCCACCAGACCATAGGTGCCACCCTGGAAGTGTCACATCTATGAGACAAGGTGAGGCTGCATCTCTACTCTGGGGTCACGGTAAGGTGGGGTGGCATGTGCAGACTCACAAAGCTGGCTTTTGAATGTGACCTACTACATCTGGGGTGATTTTATTATTTCACACTTAGCTAATCTTGGGTCTTAGCTAATATGTGGGTCTCCTGGAGCAATGATGCTAACTGGTAGGTACCAGCAATAAATGGTAAATCAAGAAAAATAAACAGGAAAATCAAGAAAAGCAAAGTTCAGTGGAAAATACATAACACCGATTTAGTCCACATTTACTTTGCCCTTTACAAAATGTTAAGTGATTTTTATTGCTGACGGACACTAATATCTATGGGCACATGTAAAGGTTTGGGGTTAACTGGGTGTGTTAGCTCACACTTTTAATTCCAGTAGCTTGCTCTACATAGTGAGACCCTGTATAGGAAAAATAAAGTTAGCTAGCAAAGTTATAATCTTGCTAAGACCATCTAGCACCAGGTGAGGGGACACTTTACCTCAGCATGCATGGCATGCTGACACAGGGTCCTCACGGCACCTGTGTCCTCTGCCCTGAGCCAGGGACTGCTCCCTTAGAGGGCGGCCAGAGGACAAGCCCATCAGTTTCTTGCAGAAGACGAACACAGGCCATGGGGCTCCCTTTAGCGCAAACCAGATTTCCACAAGGAGCCTGGGTTGATCACAGATGCAGCTATGGAGGAAAAGGCATGTCTACTCAATGTTGAGCCATGCATTCTGTGCTGACTGCTCTTGAGGCACTCTGTCCAGGAATGAATGCAACATAAAGGGTAGCAGGACAAGAGACATGAGCCGCAAGCCTCTAAACTGTGAAGTGGGTTCAAATGTTTGAGCCACTCGTTCCTGAGTGCCAGATTAACAGAACAATTTTTCTTCAGAAAGGGTGAATACACAGTTTCCCAGTGCTCATGGAACTGAGCTCATGGTGCTCTCTCTGTAAGTGCCAGCAGGCCTGCAAACCCTCCCTTAAGTCAAGCCTGAGGTCTGCGTGCAAGACAAAGCAGGACCAGCTCGAAGCACCACAGTGGCTTCCAGAGTTTGTTACAGCAAAGTAGGGGCTGGCCTCAAGGACAGCGAGTCCATGGCTCGAATGCCTCCTGAGCAGCTTCTCAGGCAGTGTTTAGGATCACCTTTCTGGCAGTTAAGGAACCAGGTTGGGGGTGGGGGGGTTAGGTTTGTACAGGCTTTTCAGCAATAAAAGAAGCTGGGCAGAACATGTGTCCTACAGTTCCTGATCCCTATGAACTTTCCTGGGACAGAAAGTACTCCATAGTTCTGGATTTAAAAGACGTTCTTTTTGCATCCTCCTGGATTCTGGGCCCTAGTAATTGTTGATTTTAAATGAGCAGACAGACACAACAAAAATTTCTAGACAGTGCTTTCACAGGGATTTAGAAAGTCCGCTACCATTTTGAGAGAAATCTTGGGTAAAGACTCGAGGAGAATTAGAACTTTGCCACAATATGTAGATTGTAACGTCCTAACTGAAAGCCTGTCTATGGAGATTCAGTTAAAACATCTGCAAAGGGCTAAAGGTCTCTAAGGAGAAAGTGCAGGTTGTTTAAAGACACAGGAGTGCACGGAGCTTTCAAACATCCCAAGGACAAAGCCTTAGCTCAGACAAGTGCTGGCAGTGGTCAGTCAGCATTCTAAAAACTCAGCAGCAGTGGTGAGAACCCTGGGCATGGATTCTCAAATGTAGTTACTCACAAACTCCCACAAATGACAAGTTGCAGGGGAAAGAGACTGATTTCTTTCAATGGGACAGACAGTATAATCGAGTTTTATGAAGCTTAAGGAGCTGAAAGCTATTGCTTTAGGTCTGTCAGACCTAAATATGTGATTTGTTGTGGAGTCACAGTGGATGTTAACTCAGATGCTCTGTCCTCTGCAAGAGTGAGGATCAGTCAGTTTTTGTAAGCCATTATATATTGTGTCCCAAGAATGGACATCATACTTAATCAAAGGTTAAAAAAAATGAACAGCAACAAAAACTTGGGCAGCCACTAACAGTGAGCACCCCACACGAGCTCTCTAGTGTTCTGGAGACCCAAAGTAGTGCACTGCTGGCTGACAGGTGGCCAGATGGCACAGTACCAGGTTCGTTTGCTTGATGGGTGTAGTGCTAAAACCATGACAGATATGTAGCTCAGTTATATTGCTTCCTGGATCATAAACAGTGCATGGCTATACTGTTGTCTACATGCAAGAAGCCTCTTCAGAGAAGGCCCCTGATGAATGCCAAGGAAGCACTTCGTGGGAAGGAACAGGTCTGTGGTTAAGAGTTCTCTCTAGACAGCTGACCTGATCTCATAGGAGCTCATGAATTCTGGACCAGCAGCTGGAGAGCCTGCTTGGGACCGACCTAGGCCCTCTGCATATGGGTGACAGTTGTGTAGCTTGGACTGTTTTGGGGCCCCTACCAGTGGGACCTAGCAGTAGGATCTGTCCCTATTGCATGAGCTGGCATTCTGGAACCTATTCCCTATGGTGGGGTGCTTCTGCTGACTCCCCATGGGAGTTGCCTTACCCTTTCTGAGGGGTGGATGAGGGCAGGGTAGAAAGGAGGGGGGCAGAGAATGGGAGGAGAGGAGTGAGGGGAAGCTGTGGTTGGTATATAAAATAAAAAAGTATATGAAGAGTTCTGTCTAGGTTGGGTACACAGTGGTCTCTTCCCATAGGCCCACTGAGGCAGTAACACTTTCCCTTGAGAACTTGAGCTTTTCAAAGGGCTCAAGAAATTGGCCCGAGTTGGGCACTGGAATTAGGAAAAGTGCCCATATAGATTTCAGCTCAGCTCTGTCTTCTTTATGATCCATGTAACAGTCTGGAAACAGAGGTTTCTGTGTCAGCGATAGGAAATGAAGAATAGAAAAGGGGCTGTGAAACTGCTCAAGGCAGTAAATGTCCCTGAGACCCTGAGACGGTGCTATAGAGGACACCCGAGGGGAGACCTGTGGCGTTGGCCTTGTCATAAAGAATCTGCAGCCACCTTTGATTCTTGGCTCAGAGAGCACAGCTAAAGTCACAGAACAAACTGCAAATAAACAACATTTTCAAAAGGTCATAACTGTGTCCCACTGGTGAGGGTGGTGCAGGCCAGGGGCAAGCTGTCAGGGGAGGACTGGCAAGTGGGCTGCACAGACAAGCTAGACTGGTGTGTCTGCTGGTTTCTGTGAGGACTTTTACAGGAGCATAGGTGCCTCTGTCTGCACAACAGAAAGAGCAGCAGAGGCCACAGGAAGACTGGTGCACATAGACCCATCAGCTACTTTTAATTGGCAGTTTTAAAATTAAAATGATTTTTTTTTTTAGTTGACCATGTAAAAAATGCTGCAGGACAAAAATCTCTGAGAGTTACTAACCATTTGCTGCACTTAAAATGTCTCTGGCTGCCAATGCACACACGGTAAGCCACTTGGAGGAGCTACAGGCTTACCACAGGGGTGCAGGGCACCTGACCAGCCAGCCTTTGTGCCTTTCTTGTTCTGTTACTGATAAGCAGCTGGATGGAGCACACAAGGAGCTTGGGAAGCCCCAAGCTCCCTCTAGCCAGAACATCCTAGTCAGAACGACTCACAGAGGGTGCTGGCACATGAGAAATCAGCAGCTATAGCTCTCAACCTCAGAGTGCTCCATGGACTTAAAGAGTTGTGAAAAAACAAAATCAAGAAACAACAACAAACCAAAGCCAAAAGAAAACCCTGAATGTCACAGAGACAACCATATGTGATGGTAAATTCCATAGGATGTCCTCTGCCTCTCTCAGGGGTCACTCATTGATCCCTTGTCTTAGCAGGCCGTCAATAATGAGAAGTTCTTCCCCATGAAGTCAGGAATGATTTTGGCAAAAAGAGATCTATCCAAGAGAAATTCACTTCAGGCAGCATTGGGACAGCTTACAGAGTCCTTCCAGTGATAGTGGACTGGGGAGAAGAGCCGACTGTCATCTCACAGGGTGGCCGGAGGGAGGCTCAGGCCAGTGCTGCCACACTGTCACTGTGCAACTCTCAGAGACATTAGTGTCCTTGTCATACGATGAATATAGTGCACAGCCAGGGCCCAGGCTGATTCCCTCACAGCTGAAGTACTTTGACAGGACTGCCTTGTTCAGAACCCTGAAGAACTCAGGTTACCTCCATGAAAGGCCATTCTCATGGGTATTCATCAAAGCTCCTGTACCTGCTTGGAGGCCCGAGGAGCTTGGCTTCTCTGGTCCTGGCCACTGGAGCAGTAGTGGTCGTCGGCGATGGTAATCTGCTCGTTCTCCTCAGCCTCCAGCTGGCTCTGGTTGAAGCGCAGGGAACCTTTCAGAATGTCTTTGATCTATTTCAAAGGAGAGGAAAATAACAAAAAGATAAATGTCTGTAGCTAAATGCTAGGTAAGTATGGCATACATTTAAAGTAGACTTGTCTTTGACCTGTTTTTCCTAAAAAAATACCTTTGTTTGTAGCTCCAGTTATCGTCAGTCACTGAACTTCTAGAGAGAATAGGTCCTAAGTTTGCAGCTGTGTGCCAGTCTGAGTAGTATGACGAAATCTCTTGACTTCTCTAGCAAGACAACTTGCAGAGGAGCTAGGATGGGAATCAGCCCTTCGTCCAGATTGCCCATGCCATGTGCTTTGCTGCCCCACACATCAGACCAACTGTACTGCACCACACAACTTCCTTCCACAGTGGCTGAGCACTACATTACAGTAGCCTCCACCCTCACCTTACTTCATCAGGGAGGACTGCATCACTTTACATCATCGTGAGAGGAGAAAATGCAGTCAGTGATTTTGAGAAAGAACACACACACACACACACACACACACACACACACTCACACACACACACACACACACACACAACCCCCCTTATTATATTATGTTACTACAGTCACTCTATTCTTCGTTACTGTTGTTAATCCCTTGCCGTGTCCAGCTGCTAAACCTTAGTTTAGGTCAGTATGTGTAGGGAAAATACAGCATACGCACAATGCAGCAAAACCCGTGATTTTAAGCATTCATGAAGGGTCTTGGGCTATATCCCATGGGTGAAGTAGGGAATATTGTAGTATGAATGCTAACATCTTACTATGAGAAACTGGTAAAAATCCAGCTGTTTCAAAGGCCTGGATTTAGTAATGGGGGTTAAAATCTGACCACATTCACAAACAGGTTCCCTGCTGTGCTAATTATTCAGTAGGAAGCACCATCTGTGCGGTTGCACAGCCAGGAAGTAGCTCCACCCCCACTGCCTGTTCAGATAACATGTTCCTTTTCATTGATATTGCGTCTTGCTTAGATCTGCCAGGGTCAGGGAAATGGGGTTCTTGCAGGCCCACTGAAAGTGGTGACTACGATCTGTGCTTCTGACAGCGTCCGTGCAATTGCAGATAAATGAGCAAACCTGATGTTGAGGTAAGGTGCAAACACAATGGGTCTTGTAGGAAGAGGAAGCAGGGGGCAGTGGAAAACCATTTGGGCTACAAGCCAGTGAGACGGAGTCCCTAGGAGTAAGGAGCATGAGGAGGCGCAGACTCAGAAAGAACTCCACCTGGGCTGATAGCAGTGACAGAGGACAACGGCTCTTAGGGTCCTATATGCTGTAAGGTGAGCCCCTCCAGAGCAGGCCCAGCGCTGGCCTGCGGGATACACATGTGGTATCAGAGTAATGCACGTACCTGTTTTAACCCTGCCAAGGAAACCAGGATTTGATCTTCTTTTTCCAAATTCTCTTGTAATACCACATCTTGGATATTTACTGAAAATAGAAAAATGACATTTTATAACAAATGTTCTGTGTCAAACTTTCATGCTGCCACACAACTTTAGATGGGAACCTGGGGGGCCGCACTGTGCTTGGCAAGCACATCCTACCCCTGCATTTCCTTAATGTGCTGACAATGACAGGTGGTGTTCCAATTAGACATTAGGGAACCTCTCAGTGACTTACGGTTTGGACATTCCTTAACATTGGAGAATGTATATTCTTCTCAGCAGCCTATGGGACTTTCTCTAAAGTGGACTATTTATTAGAACACAAAACAAGTCTCCACAGAGATAGGACAGCTGAGATCAGATGCTGCACTGCATCAGATCACCATGCAACAACAGTGGATATTAACAATATGGGAATAACTGAAAGTACACTAACTCATGAAAGCTAAACACACCACTAAGTCAATATTGCATCAAGGAAGAAAGCAAGAAAAACGATTAAAAATTCCCACAACTGAATGAAAACACAACATACCAAAATTTGTGGGTCAAAATGAAGGCAGTTCTAAGAAGGATGTTTATACCACTAGGTGCCTACATTAAAGTATTTGAGATATCGAATTAATAACTTATGGCCTTGAGGCCTTAGGAAAACAACAACAATCAATACCCTTAGCCTCATTGTAACTTGCTATGCTGTGCTTGGTTGATGCCCCAGGAGGTCTGCTATTTTCTGAGGGAAGGTGGAGGGTGGATCTTGGGCACAGACAAGGTGGGAGGATGTTGGGGGAAACTGGGAGGAGAGAAGGGAGGGGAAGCTGCTGTTGGTTTGTATTGTATGAGAAGAATAAATAAGAATAAAAATAAAATCCTGTGTGAGGGAGTCCCGATAAAGTGCATGCATGCGACTGCCTGCAAAAACCAGTAGAGGGTGTTGGATCCTCTGGATGTGAGTCACTTGATGTGGGTGCTGGAGAGCAAACTCTAGTCCTTGGCAAGAACAGGCATCCTCTTAGCTGCTGAGGCAATTTTTAAAATAGCTTGGGCTCGGCCACAGAAGTTAATATTGTCAATAGCTTTCAACTCAACTGTCAGATAGTGAAAAGGGGAGTCACTACAGCAACAGGAAAATGGACATGTCAGAAATAGCCTGAAATGGACAGGGGAAGTGTATATCTAACAGAACACACATTTTTGATTCTAAATCTTTGTGTTTTAATGGAGTTAATAAAACTAGGGCTCTGACAAAACAAACCCTCCTTCAGTACTGAGCTCCAGAGCAGGAGATGCGCCAGCCTGCCAGCCAATTGAATAAACGTCAGTATGTAACTTTTCTCCAAGAAGCTTTTCCTTCATTTGTTCTGCTACCAGTTATAAAATAAAAAAAGCCTTGATTAATACTTGACATGTTAAGTCATTTATTGCACACATGATGAAAATAGAGACTGATAAGGAATTCTTTTGAGAAGAATGTAACATAAAGTAATGAACATGAGCAAAGAACCCTGGGAAAGAACTGGTGTAACAGGACTCTCAGATGGCACTCACAGCTACTTTGGCAGCCTGCATCCTGCACAGAGCCAAGGCCCAGCAGGCCCCATGTCAGAAAATGTCCAGGCACCAAGTTGTGATTAAGTTATTCTCATTTAAAACTTAATGGAAGGGTCAACATAGCAAATTCTGAAATCTTCTGGTGTGATTTGATAAATCAGTGTGTGCTAGGAGTATAATACTGGTCCCAGATCTTCAGCTAGTATGTTGTGGGGTACTGGCTAAGCCAAAACTAAGTGCCACGAGCCCAAGCTTCCTGAGTCACATTAGGGAAAGAGGAAGTGGCCCTTGTTGAATGTCCTATTTGAGTCATGTCCCATGTTATAGTATAAAAATAAATTTGTGCAGCAAACTGGCAGACTGATCTTCTTGTCTCATTTCAGCAAGGACACTCACCGGCAGGCAGGGCTGAGTAACAGCCTGGACCAGGTGCTTGTTTTTCAGGAGCCGCCCTCCCTCTCACTGGTGGCCTCCTGCCTGCTCTGTCTATAGGCTGACCTCCAAGTGCAGCCTGCACTTTAGCTGTCCACACATTTTCAACCACTGCTTCTTATCTTCAAGGACATAGATTGGGTTCTGTGGAAAGTCCCCTTATAATCTTTCCTTCAGCCAAGCAACTTCTGTGAATGGTTACTATCATATCAAATACATTCTGTCACCCATGTCAATGAAGAAAAAGTATTTTAATCTTTATAGACCGCATTGCTATAACAGTCAATCTCTTACTGATGGATATTTGAGTCATCCCAATCTTCTTTATGATGGTAAATTTTAAAAATCATCATATGTAAAGTGTACTAGAGGAATTAAAATAACACTTGCATAAGTTAGGTATCTTTCTTCAGTTGACAAATTCCTTACACCAGAAATAACTACTGTTACTTTGTATAGATGCCGTAATGTGTCTATGGCCCTGGGGAAGGCTGTTCTTCCCAGCATCCTTCAACCCCACTTCTAAGAAATACAATCATGCTATTTAAATGGGAGAGTAAGTTGAGAGCTAAGACAAATCTACTCTTGCCATGAGCTGGACATTCACAGCTGGCGTAGGCTTCTCTTCCCATTTTAATCGCAGTGTCCTTCCCTCCTCTGCCTTGAGGATGTTGTTAGCACCACCCAAAGAGTGGCCCCCAGCAGAGGCTGCGTGGACATCCCCAGGCTCCAGTAAAGCTTCTTCACAAGCTGCTGCTCACAGCAGACAACCAGGAAATTCCCCAGAAAGATTTTTTTTCAATTTTGGTAACTCTTTCTCCCAAGCATTTCTTTGCTCAAAATCAAAATCCAAATAATAAAAAGATCACAGACTCCAGTGATCCAGCTGGCCCATGAGCTTCTTGTTAGCCCCCATTTCTGTCCTCATCTTTCCATGGGAGTACCCTTGGGACTAAGGAGGCTTCTGTTAACACGCAACATTTTTTAAGAATGTTCTGGGGTTCTTAACTGAGGCTATCAACCTTGTGGGGCAAGTACTCTACCCACCAAACCACCTTATCCCCACTTCTTTTTCATGATGCATTTTTGAGTATGATCATGTTAAGAAAATATGAGTTATATAACCCTAGTCCCATGTGCACTTTTAAAATGATCAGGCACCAAGTACAGAAAGGGTCTGGATAGAGAGGGGCCAGACACTACTGGGCTGCTGCTGTGGGTAGGTAGGCTTCAGCCTCACTGTGGAGCGTATACCATGGTATTTTCCCATTGCTTCTTCTTTAGCACCTTTTCCCCAACCGAGACTTGAAAGGAGAAATAAGGTTTAGAGTCGGCCAAGGCCTGGCCAGCTGTTTCATGAGGCACTGGATCCCAGCCAGTCACTTACACTGGCATCTTTCCACATCTTAAGACAGTGGAAAGATGTTCTTACTCACCTGAAGTCAACAGAGTTTAGGCTAATCCAAGAGACAGCTACTTTGCTCACTTGTAATAGACTCTCAACCTCATGGGCTTAAGAGACTGCCTGATGGGGTCTGAAGGTAGAGAGTTCACCTCCAGGGCATACTCCAAAGATGGGTTACATCCCGAGGGACTGCTGGTGGGAAGAGACCTTGTTGAACACCTCCCCTCAGAGGGTTGTGTGTGTGTGTGTGTGTGTGTGTGTGTGTGTGTATCCTGACTTCTTATAATACCTGGTGATGCTGGCAATTTGCCACATGACCTAGAGCAGCACACTACCAATGGGCTGAGAACAAGCAACAATATCCACACCAGAGGCTTCTGCAAGTAGCACATACTTACTGTAGTCATATAAAATGCCCCAGCAGAGCAGCTTGAGTATTAATCCTAGGACCTCCACAAATGGAGCAGTAATGCCAGAAGACCTCCTGGTGTGGCACACTGATGACTCACATGTAGTCAGAACGTTAACTAGGACATTTCTAGTTCTCAGTTCCTGCACTTATGGTTGATAGTTAATAAACTACAGAAAGCCTCACCAAGTTAAGCACTGTGTGAGTGACTGCAGACTGGTGGCCTCAGCAATGAAACCGATTGATTTCAGAAGCTCAGCCTACTGCGTAGAGGGATGTATCTACAAAGGCACTGTGGAAGTCAGGAGGTGGAGATGCATTTGTTTCCTCTGATTGGGATTCCTACTCTGCTCATTTGTGATGAAATCTTGAGCCATTTTACTTCATGCTCTTGTTCTCATCAGTGCAATGTGGGCACTGACAATGCTTCCACCACAGGGTTTGTGAGAAGTGACTGAGAAGATCCGGGTAACAAGAGCTTACTGTGTGCACAGCACACAGCACTGCCACTGTCACTGATCTGATCATTGTTATTTCAAGGGCTAATGTAGTTCACTTACCAAGATGCACGTCCATGACCTTCGCACAGTACTTGCACATGGCATCTAGGTCATTCAGCTGTCCTTGGAGGAAGGATATCTGGGCTTCCAATTCTTCTTCCTAATAAAAAACAGATAAAGAGTCAAAAAAAATACTACATGTGATCCTAAGTTGGTTTTATTGTTTTTTTTTTTTTTGTACTTTTTTTTTCTTCCTTTGTAGTCTAGGATAGCAAGAACTCTTGATGTAGACCGCACTGACCTTAACACCATGGCCTCTCCTTCCTAAGTTCGAGGATTAAAGGCATGTCCTACCACACCCAACCTCCATATACAGACAAAACTGAAGGAAAACCAACAAAACAAACAAACAAGCCCACTACCACCATAACTAACAGAAACAGTAAATCAGAGACAAAAAAAATCTGGAGTAATCCTAATTGAATTCTAACTTTGGCTCTCTGTAAACATACAAACTTTATATGAAGTACATAAAATATATTTTTTATTTCATACATGTTTTCCCCTCCCCCAGTTCCTTCTGGCTCCTTCCCACCAGTTTTATGTTCTTTCTGCTTCTCTTTCAAAAGACACAAAAATTAAAATCAAAAGAAGCAAACAGAAAAACCGGTAAGTCAAAAATGCCAAAAAAAAAAAAAAAAAAAAAAAAAAAAAAAAAAAAAAAAAACAGAAAGAAAGAAAGAAAGAAAAAAGATGAAACAGAAAGTCTACAACAAAACAGTTCAATTTGTTTTGGCCAACTAATATCTTTAAAAATACTGAGCAATAAAAATTAAAAAAGGGAAACTGGGTTTCACCAGCCTATACTTCCTAGACAATTCCATTTTTTCTCCACATACATATTTGAGAAACCAAAGGCCTTTCTTTGTATCAGAAATCTCATCATTGTCTAGACAACAGTCTCTTTTTTCTCTGTGGCTTTGGAGGCTGACCTGGAACTAGCTTTTGTAGACCAGGCTGGTCTCAGAACTCACAGAGATCCACCTGCCTCTGCCTCCCAAAAGAGTGCTGGGATTAAAGGCGTGTGCCACCAACGCCCGACTGACAACAATCTCTTGAAGCTTGAGCTTTCCTAGCAGCTGGGAAGTGGCTATTCTTGCATTTCATCTCTTGATGTGGAGCTTGGTGTTCTGTTTGTTTCTAGAGAAGGGCACTCTGGATTGAGTCATTAAATTGCACAAACAACTAGAACACAAAGGTAATGTTTTCTTTTTTTAAGGTAAAATTAAACATGTAAAAAATTTCCTAGAGAAATTTGTAAGATTCTGGGTTTTTTTTCCTCAGAGAAAGGGAATAATCCTTATAGTCTGGCTATTTTAACCAAGACTGCTTGAATAGAAAAGAAAGGATGTTGCCAGGGTTGGCACAGCAGAGAAAATGGATTTTCCAGTCTTAGATGCCTTTTCTCTTATATAAAATTCCTCTGTGCCATTAACAAAAAGGGAAGAGAAACCTACTGAGGCATTTCTTTGCTTTTTAAAAGTGAGTAATTATAATTTGATGGTAGGGTGGAAATGAATAGTTGAAAAGGTCTCTTGTAGGTGTACTGCATTTGGGAGACACATGCTAAAGCACTGAAAAGCATTGATTTGAACTGCAACCTCAAGAGGTTTGAGCAACATGCATCGAAATGATTGACACAAAGCCAGACGCAGCAGTGCTCAAAAAGTTGACTGTGGAATGTCTATGTAGGATTCTACAAGCATTTCCCATGTTCATTATGCATCCTACGAAATTCGACAGCTCCTCCTGCTCTCCAACAAGGATAAATGGTATCAGAAGCTCAACCAAAGGATGCCAGTGGAAGTATATTTGCCTATCCAAATCCAACTGGGCATGAGGTGAAAAAGGATGGGCTGTCTCCAGCCTCTTTTTTCTCTCCCTTTCTCTCTCTTTCCACAGGTCTAAACCTCTCTGTTCTATAAGATCACTATGGACATTAAGAAGGAAGGCTATGTTTCTTGGTCTGTGACAGTTGTAGTCAGTCTGTGGAGATGGCACCACATAGCCCTTCTCTCAGAATGTAAATGTGGCCTCACTTATTAGCTTGCAGGCATCTCTCTCCACCTCTTATATTTGTACCATCCTCACTAGCCTTGATATGGAGACTACAGAAAGTCAAACTATGTCACATTGGGGGAAGTTTCAGAATCCTGGAAAATTCTGCCTTCCCTGAAGGTTTAGGATGGCTGTTTAGGCTGGAGCATCCAAGAGAGCTGTGGGAAAGTTAAGGCATAGAGGAACAGTGAGACTCTGGATGTGTTAAATGTTTTCCTGGCTTCTTTTAGTCCATCATAGCTGTAGCCAAGCAAGTGAAATCATAGCTGTAGCCAAGCAAGCAAGAGATTCAGTTAGTACTGCATGCAGCAAAGTGCAGCCTAAAGAGCACTGTCCAAGTTCCTAGTCTACACACCAAAGACAGCAAGGGAGCCCTGTGGTGCTGTACTTTGGATCTGTTCCTTATGCAATGAGAAATGGCTGAATGTAGGAGAGTGGTTAAGACAGATACTCATATATGACACCAAGAAACAAGTTCTATTCCTATTGTATCCCTGATAAGTCAAATGGCCTTAAGCCATTTCCTTCTCCAGCTCTGGTGGAAACTCAGCTCTCTGGAGGACATCAACTCAAACTTTCTCCCAGTGCACTTAACAACTGGTAATGAGCTGGAATACACAAGTGGGCCATACGGTAGAGTGCACAGCACTGAAACAAACAATGCCTAGGAGTCTTGGCCCCAGCCTTTTGTCCCCTCCGCCAAGTATTCTTTCAGTTACAGACACAAACCCAATCAGAAACTAGACCTGGACCAAAGCTAGAATTTGGTTGTGGCTAGTAGCAGGGGTGCTGGCAGTTCAGGGTATACAGAAAACACCAGAAAAGAGAAGATTCCTGGAGTAAGACCATTTCTGTGTACCCTAGGCAACAGTTTAATTGAGAGTAGCAACCACACAGGCTAAAACACAAAAGCCCCTGGGAACTTTAGTCCCCAGTAGACATCTTATTTACAGAGTTTTATTCTACTTGGTGGCTTGCTTTTGCAACGCCTGGAGGGAAGAACTTCAGAGGACACATTTTAGGAGACAGGTGTGGCCTTCTGGCTTGAGGCACTTGGCCAGCTGGAGAAGTGTCTGCAAATCTCAGGATCTCTTCCTCTACCGTCTGCTGCTCTGCAATGCTGTCATTATATGGTAAAGACTGTGGTCAATCAAGGGTTTGGACCTATGTGGAGCTGCCCTGGTTATTTGGCTGCCAAATTTAGAAGGATAAGAAAACACAAATTTCCCAGTTTTCATTTTCATGCCTAGAATCCAACCAAATCTCAATGCAACAGAACCTGTGTCCACACAAACACTGTAGAAGAGCGCATTCATGCATTCATACATGCATGCATTCATTCAAACCTTCATGTTCAAGGGAAAGCATACTGAGAAATGGGTGCAAAGGGTCAAGCTCCTCTTACATTTGACATCTGAAATGCAGTTTGCATCCCTATTGAGGCTGCTGAATCTGAGAAAAACATTCTTAAACCCTTCAGCTATCACTCTGGGTTTATAAATAGAAATGGGATCACGTGGAAGCAAAGGGTGGCTTCCATTTATTCTTCATCATATTATATAATTACAATTCTAAAACTGTCAGAACCTACTTTAAATCTCTATCTCAGTGGCTCGTGCTATGCACTCCTTCCAGCCAACAATACTCTATAATGACAGTGCCAGTCACTTGCTTTCATTACAGCAGTACTCTGTAATAAAAAAGAAATGCTTGCCCAATCACTCTGAGGTTGTATGAAAACTATTTAATGGTCCTGAAAAGAAATGATTATTGTGTTTACCCTGGCATGAATGTTCTGCTTTCTATTATAGGAAGGAGTACGATGGGGTCATGATAGAATCCTGGAGTAGACATCACTGGGTTCAGAACCCATTACTGCCAGTTACTAGCTGTGTAACTTGGGGCATTCTTTAATTTCTTGCTCTTTATACCTTTATCTGACAGAAATGGGCCTTTTCCTTGGTTACATACTCACTCTTATGTTCTCTGGCCTCCCCAGCAAACACCTCTACCCCCTATAAGAGATTTACCAATTGTATGGAGATTTTTAACCTCTAGTTGCTTTCTAAATCATTTCCTTTCAAAAAACATTTAGAAGTGCTTTAGAATTACAGAACATTTCAAATTTCAAATCCCAACAACTGCAAGGCTGAGGCAGGAAGATTGCTGGGAGTTCAAGGTCAGCTTGAGTTACATAGTGAGACTCTACTTAAAAGAAAAAAGGCATTTCTACAGGGTCATTAAATTTATCGATATTATGTAGCCTACTTGTTTATATAATGTGCATCCTTCATACATTAATTTTATTAAATGCTTCAATAACTTTTGATGTTTATTTTTTATCTGTATATAAGGATTTATAGTTTATTATTTATTCACCAATTTATCAACTTGTTTAATAAATACATGCATTTGTATTGTGTTAAGCCTTGTGGGAACTACAATAACAGATGAGATGTGGGCCCTGGCGTCTCTGAGTTTAGAGGTAGACACTGCCCATATGTTCTTAAAGCCAAGAAAGGAGCAGATGTTTCTTAAAGCTCTGTAGATGAATTCGAAGGGTCTTCACAGACCAGGAGAGAGGAGACAACATCTAGTAGTAGATGTGATATAGGGTATTGAAGGAGCAGGACTCAGAAGAAATGATGGAGAAGCATGTGTCAGGAAGCAAGAGCCCAGGCACAAGGTAGGGTGTGTGTGTATGTGTGTGTGTGTGTGTGTGTGTGTGTGTGTGTGTGTGTGTGTGTGTGTATGTGTATGTATGTGTGGTGTGCAGGAGCGTGGCAGGTGAGAAAAGGCACCAATAATGAAGCCAAATCAGAGTACCGGGAGGAGTAGGAGCTACAGATAGGCAGGGAAGCTTCTCTTCCATTCTTCCTTCCAGGAATGTGTTAGGAGCTGGTAGATGTGACATGCAGGCTGCTGTGCCCAGTGTCCCTAACAGGCCGTGCCTGAAGATCATTCACACTGCAGCATTGCCTGTCAGTCCTGAGGAAAAGAAGGGCAGGAAGGGCCCTGGGGTGGAGTTTTGCTCAGCTCCTA